TAAATAATGATCAAGCAGGAAAATGACAGATAGAAAAAGCATGTTGCTGGAAGAAACAGTAAAATTGTTACTATAATCCAACATTTTTCAGTCAGGTCATCTGGACAGTTTCTTTTTTAGCTGAAACGTTTCTCCTTCCATCCGGAAGGCTTCATCAGTCAAGGAAACACAACACAAAACTGATTCTTCCCCCAAACAGCTTACTCCAAAGTGGAACAAACCAGTTATGTTGGTGCTAAGATGGTGTCTTTGGCACGCCCCCTCCTCCGATGCCGGCCCTCTTCCTTGTCAGCTGTCATGTCAAACTGGTTCAAAACCAAAAAAGTCCATGCTCAATAATCCAGGTATACAATCCAACAATTTTCAGTCAGGTCATCTGGATAGTTTCTTTTTTTGCTGTTACTATAATGTTTTTTTATTGAGCTGCCTAACAGAAGCAGTCAACCCTGAGGAGGCACGGGGGGAATTACAAACATGCAGCACCACTGGATCCATATGAGGACACAAAAATGTAACTCCAGGCTTATTTTAATCTTAAAATTAATGGCTACAAATTTTGCACAATATAATTAAGAGAGAGGCATGGGCAAATATTTCTGGATGGAGTTAGGTAACTGGCCTTTGCAAAGGGATGCCAGCAGAGTAAAAAATACCAAAATATTTCAAAATGACTGTTACATCATACAGGCAGACCTGCGCTGCTGTGTACTGCTGTGCTATGACATTCTCATTTAGATCGGATTAGGAGGTCAAAGGTTTGTTTTACCCAGCTACACATGCACCGCTGAAGGCTCTTTAAGACCAGGTGTACCCAAATAAGGACAAAACAATTCAGGATACAAACACAGTGCTGGCTAATCTAAGGGAATAATTTAACACATGCTTATTGGACTTGGTAAGTAAGAAAACTCATTTGTGCTGGCTACTACTGAAGTGTACCATATGGAGCCAGAGAAAATACTTTAAGGAAATCAAAATGCTTTAAGTTATTGGAAACTTCACAAGGGACCATGCTGTGCCACACATAAAATGTTTGAATTGGATGTAGCACTCCAACCTGCGTCTCATTTTTATCTATGATTTTAGAGACTGAAAAAATTGGTAAAACATACAAGGGTTTGGATGGTAGGACACCAAAGGGGGAGAGTGGGAGAAGCTCAAAATTACAGGAGTTTTCCCATTGCCCAAATAAGTACCTATCAAAAGAACATGTGTGCCCTGCTGAGCTGAGGATAAGGCAGCCAGCGGACAGGAGCTGTGGAAATAGAACATGTCCATATAGAGAGGAGAGCAGTGGAGAGAGGGAGCAAGAAGGGCTAGGGGTTAAATGCTTCCCTAAAATGTGAGTTTTCCAATGTGGTAAGCTAAGTAAATAGAGTCCCCTGGTCCCTACTGACTGACACCCCGAGGGTCTACTGTGAGCGTAACTGAGCACAGGCAGCTGAAATGTTGCCAATTTTCCATGTTCAAGTGCCATGTTTATGAATGTCTAAAGCACTAATCATGACAGACGTGGGATTTTTTAAAGGCTTTACAGCCTCAGTCAGCGTTCGTTTTTCCCTGGCAGAGAAAGTGAGTTTTCGACTACTAGGCAAACAGAGGAAAAAGGAAAGGCATGAGACTGAAACAGGAAGACCTATCCTGACAAACAAAACAACCTACAGATGTAGTGCTCCTCTCGGATGCCCCAGTCTCCATAGCAACGCTGCTGGCCAGTAATAGCCTCTAGTTCAACTGGTTGCAGCCGCATTAAGAAGACATACACTCAAATTGACGCCTCAAATGGGATCCCAGTGTGTATTTATAGCAACACAGAGACTCACGGGGACCCACCCAGTCCCATCATTCCCTAAGGCATTACTGAAGAACATATGTCTCTAAACAAAGGCAGACCACAAACACACATTCGTACGAATACACATATACACACTATTAAAAACAGATCCACCAACTCCCTTGGTTCTAGTAAACACGCCCTGTAATTGGCAATAACAGATAGCAGGAATTATAAATTAAAGCTGGTTACTGCAGATGCTTTCCTGAGCGCATGCAAGAGCACTGACTTGAATGTCTGTTTAATATTAACAGACCATATTCAATACCATGATGACATTCAACACCATGATTCCCCAGACCCTGATGGACAAACTACTCATACTAGGACTAAGCCCCTCCATTTGCAACTGGGTCCTGGACTTCTTAACAAACAGACCGCAGTCTGTGAGGATCCATAACTTTTCCTCCTCCATCATAACCCTCAGCACTGGCTCCACCCAGGGCTGTATGTTGAGCCCTCTCCTGTTCACCCTACTCATGTATGATTGTGCAGCTACCCATCCAGGCTGTCATATGTGAAGAAGATGAAGGAGATGGTCGTGGATTTCAGACGAAACAGACACCTACCTCCAACCCCTGAATATAGGAAGATCTGCAGTGGAAGTGGTCTCCAGCTACAAGTACTTGGGTGTACACCTGAATGACAACCTCAGCTGTGGCAACAACACCACCAGCCTGATCAAGAAAGCACATCAGAGACTCTACTTTCTCAGGCAGCTGTGGTGAGCTGGTCTGGGAAGCTCAATCCTCACCTTCTTCTACAGGTGTGAAGTGGAGAGCATCCTGTGCTCCAGCATCAACGTGTGGCATGGAGGCTGCACAGCTGCAGAAAGAAAAGCTTTACAGAGAGTGGTGAAGGCTGCACAGAAGTCTGTTGGAGTCAGCCTCCCCACAATTACAGACATCTACACCTCTAGATGCAGGAAGAGGGCCACCTGCATCATGAAGGACCACACTCACCCAGCACACACACTTTTTGCCCTGCTCCCCTCAGGCAGAAGGTTGAGGAGCATTAAGTGTAGAACCACTAGACTGAGGAACAGCTTCTACCCTGAAGTTGTTAGACTCATGAATCCCTAATCAGGATAATTACTGTGAAAAAAATCACTGTAATGCCACTTGATTGTTGTTATGTTCTGCTGACTATCCATGCTGCTGATCTTATTCTGCTGATCTATTTTTTCATGCTGCTGTGTTCATTTGTCCTCATCTGCTCACAAAGACTCATGTTTGTGCTGCTGTTTTTCAGCATATTGTTTCTGTACTATTAGTGCTTAGTGTATTCTTAGTTTAGCATATTTCTTAGTTAATATCATAGATCTATTATTGTTTTTCTTTAAAATTTATACTTTTGTTGGATGTAACTGGGACCCTGTGTACACAATTTCATTCCACCACATGAGATGTGAATGACAATAAAGAAACCTTGACCTTGAGATACAGTCAGCTGAATGCTTCTCTCAATTATGAAAAACAATATAAATATGTAATATAGTTTGGTTTCATACAGAAATATATTTCTACCTACCTACCTACCTACCTACCTACCTACCTACCTACCTACCTA